ACGGGGACAGGGCGCGCCATGAAGTCTCGATTGGGTTTGGATGACGGCCTCGCGGTGGTGGTGCCAGAGACTCTTCTACACTTGCGTTCTCTGCTCTAGTTGTGCATCCGTCGCTCGTATCCATAGGCAGTCAACTGAAGCCTATTTGGGTCTGTCATAGAAACCTCCTAGCACGGCTTCCCTTTTCCGTTTCCTGTTTTTTTTTTCTTCATTACTCTGTACTCTATTCACACAGGCCTTCCCCGGTTATTCCCACGCCTTTTATGGCGGGGTGAGATTCCTGTATTTTCTTGCTGTTTCTCGTTTTACACCCACTCTCGGCGTCTGTGTTGTCGGGGGGGGGGTTTTTTTTTTTTGGGTTTTCCCCCCAAGCCTACGTGCTAAGTTGAATCTTTAATCAACATCACAATCCCACAACCTGCCTGGCGGTGGCTAGTAGAAAACAAGGGGAAGCTGGCAGCCATTATTACCCATATTGGGAGGGGACGAGGAGGGGGTTCGGCAAGGCTCGGCTGGTCAAAGGGCGGAGGAGGGCCAATGCCATATATTTTCCATTGCATAGATGCAAAATCATATCGTATATCAGTCCGATACACATGCCGGACAGATGGCCGCTACCAGGACAAGCTCCTGTCGTGTAGTGCGCCTGGTCCCGATAAAAGTAGTAAATCGTCAAGCGAGCTTTGTCGTTGGCCAAGACACATAATGCCGAGGGCCACTACACAACCAAGGCACAGCGAGCAACACGAGCTGGGCCAGAAAAGGCTATAATTAAAGGCATTCGTTAAGCTAAGAGAAACCAAGATAGGCTCGAAATCAAGAAGTGAAGCTAGAGACTGACCGTGCGTTCCTCTTCCCAACATTTATCCCTCCCCCATGTGACCTTTGTATTTTTTTCCCTTTTGCAGCCCAGACCGGTTCCCATCTGACGTCGAATTGGTCCCAATCAAGATAAAGTTAACCCTGAAGCAAGAGGTAGAGCACACGCCGAGTTTATAAAAGGGGGAGAGAGAGAGAGACAGAAAAAGGTCGTAAATGAGTTTTCCCAAGAAGAACTCCGCGTGAGACGTTGGTTGAAGGGGTATTCTGGAGCCGGAAGGTGACAGGAAAAGTGGGAAAAGAGAAGAAAAAGATAGACACGTAAATAACCGTGAGAAAAAAAAAAGGAAAATCTCGTGACAGTAAAGGGAGCACTTATCCCCGACAATGCCTCCCCCCAAGACACAAATCATTCTCAACCCCATTCTCCCACCAACATTGATACAAAAATCATCCCAACCGCTATTCACTGACACATCCTTCGTCTCCCGAGTATTCATCCTCAGTAGGGTCAGCGTAATCACCAACGGTAGCGGCACCCTCACCTCTAGTTACGCCACCATTCCGGTGTCCGGCGGCAGCGGCCGAGGCCAGGCCGAGACCTAGCTCTTCCCGCGTCTCGCGTTGTATCTTCAAAAAGTACTGGCGCAGGCTCCGCAGGCCCCTCAGGAACCCGCGGTCTGGCTCGCCCGGGTGCTGTGGCGGGCAGGGCTTCTCAGCCATGGAGGACGCGTCGCCAAGCGCCGCGGGCGTGACGCTGTTCGCAAAGTCGGCCATCTTGAAGTCTATCTCGCGTTTGTTCCGCCGCTTCTTCCGCGCCGCCACCGCCGACCCGTTTGGATAGACGTCCTCTGTGTCTGTGGCAAAGTCGGTCGTCGAATCCTCTATCGTGGTGGCGTCATTATCATTGGCGCCATCCTGGCTGGTATCGCCGTCGTAAAACATCAGGAGGCTAGCCGCGTAGAAGCGGTATCCGTCGAGTCGCCGGATGATCACCTCTAGCTGACGCAGCTTCTCCAGCACCGTGGGTATGTGACGCAGGATACTGGCCCGGTCGACACCATCGTACAGGAACCGCTCGAGTGCACCCTGGAACTCAGACCCGGCCTTGAGGTCGCGGCCGTAGTACTTGTCACGGAATATGTAGGTCTGAGAATTGGCGTCCCAGACCTGCAGCCCACACACACGCACGCCAAGCTCCCGTGACGTCGTCCCGGCACACTTGCGGTGCTGCGACTTTTGCTTGTTGGGGTTTGCGTCTACGCCGTACTGGCGTGTGCCCATCTTGAGGTCCATGATGCAAGGTCTCTTCATTCCGGCCGTTAGGTCTTCGAGCAGCAGGAAGTACTCGACCCGCGAATCGCTCTGCGTCTGCGCCTCCTTGGGGTTGATAGGGCGTGAGATCCGCTTGAGCTCCGTCGTCGGGCTAGCCGCCCCAGAGGTAACGGTGGAAGGGTAGTTGGAAAAGGCCCCGCCGTCAGCGACGTCCCCCGAGGCCTGGTGATTGCCGTTCTCGCGCACCGGCTGCGGAGCGTCCACGTCCACCTCGGAGCTGGGTTTGGGTTTAAAATGTGCGTCGTCTGACTCCTGAAAGTACTGCAGATCGCCTCTGGACTCTAGGTTCTGATCTGCCCTCCTCCTGAGCCCAGAGCTCGAGTAGCGTCGTCTCTTGCCTGGAACCGTTTCGCCCAGTATCTCGGGCTCTGGCGCGCTCGTACCCATGATGTCCTGAGAAATGCAATCCTCCTTCTTCTCTGCTTTGGGGCTTTCTTGGTCGGCATCTGCAGCGCTGCAGACCGAGAGACCGGCGTCGATGCTGTGCCCCTTGGGCCGTCTCGGGAAGCGCTGGTTTTCCATGAGATCCCGCTCTCCCATGATAGGGTGATCTGGGTCCGAATCTGCCCTTTCAATGGGCGTGCTCTTGGGAACGGGAATGTGGGCGTCCGATGTCGATGGACGAAGGAAATTAGGCAGGGACGAGCGTGGAAAGGTTCCTCGAGAGCGTCTGTGTGGTCGCATCGGGACCGGGTGTTTCAAGAAGACGTCGTTGAAGACCTCGTTGCGGAGTCGCTTGTTGACGGTTGTTGCGCCCCAGCTGTTGGCGTGACGGTCCTCCAGCGTCGGGCGGTGAGTCAGCCTCCTCCCGGAGCCGTCCTGGCAGTCGCCCGAGAGTGTGATAACCGAGCTGCTCCGCACCCGGCTGCCCTGGGCGTAAATGAGCGGCTTGGGCGAGGGCTGCAGCAGGTGCCGGGGGAGTATATGTTGATTATCAACAAACGTGACAGTGGGCACCGGAATTTGACTTGATTGCAGAGATTGACTGATTACTCTATGGTGCGCAGGCATCGCCCTGGCACTCTCTGGTGCCTTGGTCTGGACCTCATGCTGAGTTGCGTCCCCATTGCTTCCCAGCGCCCCATTTGATGCGGCCTGGTCGATCAGCTTTCGCTCTAAGGCGGCCGCATCCTCTCTCTTGAGCGTTGACTTGCGTCGTGGCTGTTTGTGGAAAGTCACGTTCAAGACCCCGATGTATCTAGACAGGGATATCAAGTTAACCCATGCAAACAACAAACAGCAGAGGGGGTGAACTGGAGGGGAAGTAAAGCTCCGCCGCCAAGGTGGCCGTGACGGGTTAGTAGCTCTCGACTAGGAAGTAGGTAAATGCCATGTACCTCGGAAGGAAGGCGAGAAGATCCCCGACATCGCGCTCTATACGCTCGTAGAACTCGTTCTCGCGATTGTTCAGCTGCTTGCACACTGCACGCTTAGAAAATCGCCAGAGTGTCGTGTGTCCGCCGACTTGGTGCTTGTACGGAATGAGCTCGATGGCCTCCAACGTCGGCTCTGCCGGTGACTGCTCTTCCACGGCCGGTCCATCCAAGAACTGTGGTGGCGCTGGGGCTTGGACGTGATTGTGTGCATCGGCAGTCGATGTGACAAGCTCGTCGGTGACGCGCTTGGGTTGAGCGAACTCGATCCCAGACGACTCGGATCTGAGAGCCGAGATGTCCCTGTTCTGGCCTGGCCGAGTGGGGGACTGCTCTTCTTCCTCGTGTTGATCAACCTCAGGCTCGTCCGCCTTGACAAGCCAGTCGTCGCCTCTCGGCGCTGCTCGCTGACCGGGCGGCTGGCGCTGAAGGCTCACAGGCGCTGTAGGCACAATCCCCGAGGGCTCTTGCGGAGCTTGATGGGGCACAAAGACAGCCGACGAGATCTTCTCCTCGCTGGAATCGTCCCCGTCTTCACCACTACCAGCCGTCGCAGTGCTGTCGCCAGAGTTCCTGCGCTCATGGCCCGGTTCCTTCATGCCAAGTGCCGGCTCTGGGAGCAGTTTGTAGTCTTCAGCCATGCTGCCATCACGTCGTCTTGCTGTCAAATCTTCCAGCGTTGATGTCTTATCGACAACTTGAACATGCCCAAAGTAATCGGAGCCCAGTCTTGTACGGCTCGCGTCCGCCAGCGCCGGAGATCTTGTTATCTGACCGGGATCAGCCAACCCCTTGCTAAGATCTCGAGGTGACGGATGGACGCCCGACTCCTTGTCGCCCTTGTCGCCCTCATCGAGATCGTCGTGGTCTTGCGGTATGGATTCGAGTTGGGGGGACAACGTGTCCTTCCCATGGCCTCCGTGTCTCGAGGATTCCTTTTTCTTGGTCTTCTCCTCCGGCAGGCCCTCCTTGAAGAAGCGCAGGCTGTGACTCGCCTTGCGGCTGCGGTTGTTGTGCTCAATGCCGGAGAGAACCTCCGTCACAGACTTCTCGACCTGGCCGTCGCGCAAGCTATCTCTCTCACCGCTGCCTATCGACCATATCTTTTCTGGACCCATTGACACTCTGTGTTCGACATTCCGCGGCCTCTGGGACCCCCTCGAGTCAGGGGTTCCGCTAGAATCTTCGCCTTGCGCAGTGCGGTGCTGGGTAGGGGCTCGAGTAGGGGTATTCGTCGTGACAGACGTCGTTTTCTCGACGGCTGGGGCGGCGCTAGCGGGGGTCACCGGGCTCTGAGAGGACCGGCGACCCTCCCGGTCAAGCTCATCGAGCGAGCTGGCCCGGTTGGGGTTCTGCGGCCGAAGGCCGTGGTGCACCCAAGCCCTCGAATCTACACCAAAGTCGACGCTATTGTGGCTCAGTGTCGGATAGAGCTTGTTAAGTGGGGATGAGTGGGAGGAAGCCGAGACGGTGATGGTCGAGACGACAGTTGAGGCGGGCATGGCGAGCGAGTGAGACACGAAACGGGCTTGGGAGGCTGTCAGGGAACTGGCGTCGTCGCCTTGCGGTGGCGGGTCGCCGCGGACATCTTTATGACTAGTGGCAGGTGTGGGTAATGCGGATGAGCCGTTCACCTGCTTGGCGGTGGAGGTATGCGGGTAGTTGCCCGATGGACTCTGGCTGCCTTGAGTTTGGGGTGAGGTACGGGTCGGGTCTGGATGGCCAGCACCACCGGGAGAAGATGTCGAGAGTATGCCGCGAGCCGAAGCCAGAGCCTGTGTCAGCAGAGACGGACCACTGAGGCGCTGCAGGACGGGGCCCCGGGCCTTTTTATTTTGATCGGCCGCACTGGGCGGCAGCAGGGCTTGGTCAGGGGCAAGAAGCAAGTCCTGGGCAGCCGAGGGGGATGCGGGTGCTGTTTTGGCTGCCGGAGCAGGGGCTCGGACTTGGGAAAGCAACGAGACCGGGGTTGGTGCTGATGCTGATCCTGACGGCACTTCTGATCCTAGCAATGGCAGGTCCGCTTGCACGTGTGCTGCAGCGGCTCCCCGACCTGCACATGTATCGGCATCTGCGGCCATGTCTGAGCCTGTGTCTGGCGCGGGGCCAAAGACATGGCCGCGATCCGGCCATGCCGCATGGGACGAAGCGGCGACGGGGGGTGGTGATGGACCGGCAGGCACTGGGCTCGGGATGCTCAGCGGCAGGACTGGTGCGGTATTTTCGAGCTGGGACGACGGGCTGGACATGAGGAAAACATCTGGCAGGCGCTCTGGGGGGAGGCAGTGTGCGAAAACGGCTCGTGATGGTTGGCTGGCGGTGGGTGGGCTGGCTTACTGGGGCGGTTGGGTGCCGCTGCCGTTGTCCGGACTGGGTGGGGAGCGTGGGTGGTGGTGGTGGTGGTGGTGTTGGGAAAGGAGGGCGAGGGAACGAAACGAATTGAGGCGGCCGAATTTTGCCTAGACGGACAGCGGCGGCGTGTTGTGGCGAAAACAGGCAGCGGGATTTGCGGTGAGCTTGGGTCGTCGCTGCGGTCTGGGCTGGTGCAGGCAATCAAAGTCAGTCTCTCGTGCAGGCTCAATGCTCCTGGTGGTGAAACTGTGGAGGGGGTGTGTGCGAGCAGGCGGGAGAGACGCTGGCGACAGCAGCGACAGGGGCTTGGCGGTACCTGGAGCAGTGTGTATGTGTGTGTGTGTGTGCAATGTCAATGTCAATGTGCAATTCGGATGCGGGTGATATCTGAGGCTCCCGAGATAAGAGGCGGTTTGCCGACCGACGTCAGTGGAGGGTGGAGGGTGGTGGCGCTGGCTCGTTGGCCAGCCAGAGGAGAGCGAGAGTTGGTATGCAATCGAAGCTGCCCGTCCTCTCCCTCAAGCGTGGAGGGGTGGCTGCATTCGCACAACAGCCGGCTCCAGGCCGCGTGGTGGCACCCATTTTCTGTGGGTGTCCCACAAGACAGGAGGGGAGCCCATCTGTTGTGCCGGGGGCAGCCGTGGATCTAGGGCCAATCGAAGTGGGCACCTTTTCGGACAGGTACCTTTTTCGCAGTCTGCGAAGAAGGTGGACTTTACCATGGATGCCTGCCACCCCTTTTGGATGTCCATGGCCTCAACCGTCAGTGCACATCCATGCAATGGCGCGGCTGCACCGAATGATGACGTTTGTTTGTGTCTCACAGCATCCAAATGCTGTCGCACCCGCGGCGGACCTGTGTGCTGGCAGCATGAGTGAGCAACAGCATCAAAACGACATGCCCTACTTGCTATGTTGGTACAGGTACCAGCTAGGGAGGCAGGGACGCATCCCATCCAAGACACTTTATTCGACGCCACAGAGCTCGCATCCTGCGGATGCAGACAAATTCGTCTGCACATCAAATCGGCGCTCTGCCCTGACTGACAAGCCCTCGGGGCGTTGGGCAAGTGCGGGTCGGCAAGGACGGGCATCTAGACGTGCCCGATCTTCATCCGTTTCCTCTATCTTTGGCCGCTTGCCTGGATGGTATGGGATCCCCACCCAACCGAGCAAATTGGTATCAGGGTGTCTAGCTGTCACGCTGTTTGTGTCCCACACGGCAGCTGGCGTTTTACCGCCTGGCCGGACGTGAAATCTCGTACCACGCCGCATTCTTGACCACAGAAACAAATGAGCAAATGGTAGCTAAGTACAGTACGAGGCAAAGACATGGGAGGTACCAGACATGGCATTGGTGAACAAGACCATAGCTGTTTCTGCCAAGACTCGGACACGCGGTGCCCCAGGAACGGATCCAGAGGGAGCCCCACCAGCGACCACCAGCGACCGCGACAGAATCACGTTGCCAGCTCCAGACCTGTGAGAGGCTCGGAAGGAAAGAAAAATGGCCAAATCTGTTTGTCACGGGAATGGACACACCGCCCGATCGAGGCAAGCACGGAAAACACGGAAAACTTGACATATCGAGCAGAACAGAAAAGCAAGCAGGCAGAGAGTGACGGATGGAGAGCTTTCTAGGTGGCTCGACTAAGACGGACGGCACGGCTCGCATTAGCCCCAAACCCATCCACGACCTGAGCCTAACATTTGGGTCCCATGTCTGCGATACGCCTCGCTCGTTGGGTTTGGCCGATAGGCTTGTCTCTCCGTCGACAGATCATTTTTGGCTCCCCTCCCTCTACAGACGCCATGCCCTGTCTGCACTTTGATCGGCGCCGGTACGGGATCGGTTGAAGAGTGAAAAGCAGCAAACTTACTGTCACTCCCAATCCTTGGCGTCTCTGTGTTCGGGAGGGCTGGGTGTTAGCTGTAAGCCGGCTGCCAACACGGCCGCTCACGTCCCATTCATGCAAGTGCGCTGAGCCGGTCTTGTCACCACCAATCGTCCCGCAACGTGGTGTGCGCGCCCCAGACCATGGTCCCCGTCGATTCAGAGCTTGGCCTTTTAGCAATCCCCTTCTCTTTTCCCTTTTCACCCATTACTTCCTTCCGTCTGTCTGAGGCATATCTGCGTAAGCACACCACCACCCCACCTCGAGGGTTCCTAATAATGCAACCAAGTGACCACTCTCAGACGCTATCCTCACCGGCTTCACAAAATGAAACGTATACCCGCCACTCTTTTGCTATATGCTAGAGGCCAACGCGGTGCTTCCTGCAGCCGTCCACCACACCTCATGCATAACGCTCGCTTAGCTCATTCCGGGAGGCCTCACACCCCTTCGTTTCCTTCTTTGCCTTTGTGTGGCCTCTTTGGCTCTTATCTATATCATGTCTATGGGACTTACTCCTATTGCCCTCCGCTCCATTCAGTTCCTCACAGAGGAAGGATCAGATAATGCACGTAATCATGAAAAAATGTGACCGTATGCACTCGCCTGGAACGCTGGGCCGAGGGCATACTGAACAGCAGATCACCCAAGCACGTCTGTTTCTCTCTCTGCGCCTATCTTCCACATCCTGATTGGGAGCCATAGGGATTGATTCGCTGGTCAACCGGTATATTCACACGACTTTCCCCTCATTGTGCCCACTGCTTCGTCAAGATAGCCAGATGAACGTTGCAAGACAATCAAGAAAGCCGGCTCAGAGAGAATTGCGATCACCGCATGTGCTTATCCGTGGCTACGTCGCCCGGATGATGTCGGCCCGCGGTCCGGAGATACGTGAAATTCAACGTCTGACCGCATCCTCATTGATCCTCAAGAGATAGGGGTGAGCTCCCATCCAGCCGTGGCGATGATAAGGATCCTGGAGAGAAAGATCCCTTGCGAAGCAGTATCGTGTGGGCGCCTCCACATATGGACATGTAACCCTGCCAAGACAGGGAAGGGGATGCAAGTGTTTCTGATATCAAAATATCCGCCTGGAAACCACCACACCATGTATACAAGAAGACACAGCGAGGGCCTCTGGCTAATCTCCTAGATGGCAGCATGTCGGTGGCGTTCGACTTGGTGGAGCACAATGATACGGCACAGAAACGCGATTGCCCTTGCCTCGTGCGCCAATGGCCAAAGGTAGGTCTATGTTGATGTTACTCGAGTTCGCCTCAGTGCACCAAATTCAAAGACACCCATGCGACATGTGTGTAGCTAGTTAGATGCCTAGGAACCTGTTTGCCAATGTACCACATCTATCATCAACGTGCTCACAGGGAGTCAAGGTATTGGAGCAAGTAGTGTTGCCAATTGTATGGTATGCTTCGAAATGTCCAAGTATTGAAAGTATACTTGGTTCAAGCGGCATATCTCTAGTAATTACGAGGAGAAGAAAAATGATGAGACAAAAGAAACTCGATTTAGAAAAGGGGGCATTCGTTTCTGAAGGAAAGTTAGGTAACGGGCACCCCGTGCAAACATCACAGGTTCAAGGCTCATGAGCGGCCAGGAAACAAAGGTGACAGAAAGCCCGCCCTGCTGCGCCCAGCGCCTAACTCCACTGCCCAATGTCCATGGAGATGCTGAATGGGTTTAGCCGTGACTCTGAATTTCGCTCCCTCTCTTTCTTGGCAGTGGCCTTGGCCAGCTCGGAATCCAGGTCCCACGAGCCCAGGAAATCCCCCAGATTGTTGATTACGGCACTGACGTCGTCCATCCCATCGTCGTGGGACATGATCGAGGTCTTCAGCGCGCTCGGGAGCTTTAGAATACCACAAGGGGCTTTCGAACCGCCCCCGGGAACAGCCTCGGCTGTGTCGTCTCTACGGCGGTCCGCGCCCACGAATCGCTCAGCCGCCGCGTCCGTAGCCTGGCTGCTGGGGCTAACGTGGTCCTTGTCCATGGGAAGCCTTATGAAAGCCGGTCGCGGGGTGAGGTAATGTTGTTTGCCTTGCATCTTGGCGAAGTGCTTCCTGAACAGAGTGACTTCTGAAGGAAGGTCCTCCGCTGATGTCCTGGATGGTGGCGGCGGCGAGCATGGCCGCGTGGGGGCCATCTGAGGATGAGCAGGGGCTGCAGTTGCCAGTGCGGCAACCTTTTTGGCCCGCGCGACACTCTGGGACTTCTGCCGAGGCAAGCCGGCCTCGATATAATCCTCATCACCATCGCCCTCGCCATCTGGACTGCTGGGGGGATCGCTCAGAGGGCTGCTGTAGCAAGAGCCGGCGCTCGCCGGGTTTTGGTCGTCTCCAACTTTCTCACCCGGGAGAGGTGCGAATCGTACACGTTTTGCTGGCCTATTGTGTTGAGTCGAAGGGCTCGCAACCGCCTCTTCGATCATCCCTGGGGCGGCGCGAGGGAGCCCATCAACCGTGATTATCTCAGTATTGTCAAAGCCGCCATGTTGTCGCTTGCTCCTGGAAGACGGAGACAGAAATCGACGGAATGGTTTGTTGGAGGCGCTGAGATCTGGTGTTGGAAGGCTGGAGAGCTTGTCCTGGGGTGTTGATGGGCGTCCGTCATGACGCGAATGGTCCTTGTCTAGTCCAAGGTGGTCAAGGCGGGGAAGGACAGGGTTCGGGACCTCCTCTTCTCTTGGATGGAATGATAGAGACAAAGGAGACACGGCGCCGTTGACGGGGACGTAAGGAACACGGAGGTCCACTTGGGCCCATGGGCTCTGTGGAGTTGGCACCGGCGTTGCTTGTTCCCCTAAACGTGCCATGTCTTCGGGGGAATTGACTGGCGCAGGCTCTATAATAGGATTGATCATTGGGCTACTGGGCAAATGTGCGGGCAGCCGTACGGTGTGAGAAGCGGCCCACGGGCTCTGGTCCTGCGTCGCAAGCCTCGCGCATGCGTGGCTCGTGTCGGACATCATATTGACCCCAGTGTCTGGTGGGTGAGACGCTCGATTGGAGTCGTCGTATTCCACCTTACCATCCCATACATCATCTTCTCCGGGTTCAACGACTGCAGCTGGGTAGCCTCTGGGTGGGAGGCGTAGGGTCGGGATCTCGGGCCCTAGGATTGCCGCTTCGTGTGTTTCTGGTCGTGGCATGCTAGACACTGCGAACATCGCCTGTATAGTGGAGTTCTCTTCATGTGACGTTTGCGATAACAGTAGTAGACCTTCCGCGGGTGATTGGTGACTGCGCTTAGTGCTAATTGGTGGTAAGTCAACCACTGCCCCCTGAATCGCTTGTGGAGGAGTTGAAGCTGAGGCAGACTGAGTAGAAGCGGGATGCCGATTGTATGCTCTGACAATTGCGGCCGGCTCTTCGCTTTTTGGGTCGGCGCGGGACTCCTTCAGCACGGAGAACAAAGGCGGGGCACGATTTGTGTCGGCCCCGGCCACAAAAGTAGTCTCTTCCGAGCCAAAAGAGGTCGTACAACCGTGCTCAGGAATCAGCGTTTCGTCACCTGTGGGCGAAGTTGGCTTGATGACGGCCTGAGAGATATTTGCTTTCGCAGGACTCAGAGCGAGGATATCGGCCTTGACAGCCGAAAACAGAGTTGGAACAGCGTCGTCTTCCACCTGTCCATCCACACTACCCTCAGGACAAGCTGCAGAAGTGGTCTCCATATCCGTCACGAGGTTTGTGACATGATTCGTGGCAGCGGGAGATTCGGAATCCGAGGGGAACCCGGCCCAGGAGGACTCATCCGCATCGAAATTCTTACTGGGATGCTCCGTATTCGACGGGTCTGTCATCTTGAGAGACGACGCCGAAACCTGCTCCTTCTGTTGTTCCTGGTCGCGAGTCTCAATACTCTGGTGAATGTCACTCCTGGTCCAGACATCGAGGGGCCTTGCCTTGGTGCGGTAACAGAAGCTATCATCTTGTTGAGCCTCTAAACTTGCATCCGAGCCTGATACACGGGCCTGGGCGGTATCTTTGCTGTCACGAACCGCACTGCCGTTCGTTGCAGAGCTCGTTTCGGCAGTGGAGGCGCGATGTCTTGCGCTAGATGCACGCAGCAAGCGCCAATCAGTGGTAGGCGTGGGCATGTCATTTTTGGTAGGCGGAGACACAGCTGAGTGGGTTGGTTTCCGGTTTTCAGGTTGCAAGCGGGAGGGGTGGATTGGGGTGTGCGCCATGGAGTCTTCATCAATGAGGAACGAGTCCTCGATGAATGAGTCCTCTCCGGGGAAAGCATAAGACTCTGACACGCCATGAAGGGGTTGAGGTGGCAGTCCCTCGTTCCAAGCCTGGTTGGATCCGGAGCTAGACAGCGAGGACGGCTCGCTGGGCGGGTCGATCGATCGCTTGTGAATAAGCTTGTCGGTGGGCGAGCTAGCGAGTAGCCCTTCCCTTGATCCGGACCTGGGACGCTTCGGGGTGCTTACTCGTCGAAGCCAGTCAGTTGATGAGGCACCGCGCTTCCTGGGGTTCCGTCCGCTTGCTGGGTCACTCCCAGCTACGAAGACGCTGCCTGCGAGCCCGAGTTCCAAGATTGACTCCTGAGCTGGGGGAACTGATCGGCGCGCCGTCGATTTGGTCGCCATATTCGGCTTGAGTATGTTTGTTGCAGTGTCCGGCATCAGTCCAAGGACGGAACCAGGTCCTGGAACCGCGGGAGCTTTGGACGTGGCGGGGGCGGCATTCTGAAGAGGCTTCGTGACTCTCCAAGTAGTCGCAGTCTTGTCCTTTCGTCCGATCTTGGTCGGCACAGCGCTCCTGCTGCGCCATGGGTTTTCCCAAGCATCGCTGCTGAATGGTCCCTTGAGTCTCGAGGTCACGAGAACAGGGGGCACTCGCCAACCATTCTGGTTGAAAGCGTTGTAGCGCTCTCTGCAGCGCTGTAGTCGCTGGGATGGGGTCTCGTAGTGTTCGTCGTCGGACCCGATGTACAGGACGTCATCGGCTTGATGGTAAGTTTCGAAGATACCTAAGTCGTCGAGCCCGCTCGGGGGCTGAGGATGGTCCTCAGCCATCTGGCGAAGTCGTTCTCCGGTCGGATCTCGTCTGGGCAGGGAGGGCTATAATCGCACCGAGGAGGGCGCCTTGTCGGAGCTGGAATTCGATGAAAAGTTCATACGCGGGTCGGGTTGGTGTGATTGGCAAGGGACAGTATGGCAACATCACGGTGAAGCGTGGATCCGGTGGTTGGTCGTTTGGGTGGTGTTGGGTTTGATTTGGGGCTAGTGCTTTCGACGTCGTCGGTTCCAGGGGGTTGGTTCCTAAAGGGTAACGCGGGTGTTTTTTTGGGCGACGCGTTTCTCCACAAATCCCACCACACCACTTTACGCGGGGCACATGACCTGGCGTTACCTCAGCTTCTTCTCGAAGGGAGCTTGGACAACACCATGACAAAAATGAGAAAGCCTTCTGACAGCAGGTCGAGCGCAAGAAGAATATCTATGGGATAGGGATCGGCCTCTGCGTTTGCGCGTAGGTGTTACAGTGGGCAGCAGGAAGCAGATTAATAGCTCGAGAAAGGCAGCGAAAATATATTTAGGTTCAGATACTAAGCTGCTCCCTTCCTCCATGTTCCCAGAGCTCCCAGATAGGCCCAGCCAGGTTCTTGCCGTTTCAAACATCTGCGCGAGGCTGGAGTGGGGTGGACAGCCACCAATGCAGCTTCTAGGCTGGAAAGTGGGGGGACCTGGGTGGTTGCTGGGGCGATGTCGCAGGTTCAGACCCCGCAGACTGCCAATGGTAATCGCGCTCTGATTGTTTTCAACCACCAGCAGCAGGGGCACGCCTTGGGGCCCAGGCCTAGGGAAACGTTCCGAGCGGAGCTGCGCTTCAAAACCAGCCGCGCTTTTGACAAACGGCCGCACGTCCACCGCACGCTCCATCTCTATTATCATAGGCCTGTTCTTTTTGTTTTATTTCTTGATACTGCTCGTGCGGGCTTGAATCGCTTCTTTGCGCGCAATTCCTTTTTTTTTGCCCTCCGGCCGGTATCTACATTTGCCTGCAGTCTTGCTTGTTGCCTTGCGCCAACGGATCTGTCTCACCACCGTCCTAGCATCTCGAGACGACGACCTCCCCGCGCGCCTCCCTCGCACCGGAGCACTGACGTATACAGACTCGCCCTGGGCGCGCTTACTTCCCGTCAGTGTCTTCATGGACGCGTCACACCATTGACATCTCCTAGCGGCTCTTATCAACCGTCCCGCTCGCCCGCCGCTTCACACGTACTCAGCATTGCGCTATCCGCGCTCCGGCGAACAGGCGCAAAAATGGCGGGCCACGCGTGGCTCGACTCTCTTTCGGAGGACTGGGTCTCACAGCCCCCTTCTGAGGGCCCTTCGGTCATCGACACACCAACTCCGAGCTCACGCGCCGATTCGCGGAACGCTGGCACGCGGCCATCTCGAGGCTCGCCCACGACGGGGTCACCTGGTCGAAACTCAGGCGGTCGCATCCCCCGTATGTGCGGCAACAAGAGGTTGCCCAGCGTGTCCTTCGCGAATAGCAGCGGAGTTCTCAGCGAGCGCAGCATAAACAACCACAACATTCCTGAGTCGCAACGTGGCTCTCCAGCAAAAATCGCGGCCATCACTCCAACGCGCGCGTCGCGGGCTGGACAGCCCAGAAAGTACCTTAGTAGAAGATCCGTGTCAGCATCCTCGACAAGCTCTGTTATTCATAACACGGTTCGGCAGAAGAAGCCTTCGGGCTTGTCGCCTGGCAAAGGCAAGGAGGACACACCAGAGTGGAGGCGGCGGCTGATCGACGGCGAGCTCGCCTATGGTGAACAGCGTGACCTCTTTAGCTCTGCTGCCACCGGCCTTGAGAACATCTTCAAGCCACTACCTCCCACACCGAAGCCCCCGGTCATCGAGGAACAGGAGGACGAGGAGGAAGAGAGCGCTGACAGATTGCCCGTGTTTGATACCACGGTGCCTTCAAGTCCGCCGGTCTACCGGGACAACTCCACGGTTGAAATACACGTGGAGGACCTTTCTGTCAGCCAGTTACTGCCAGGGGAAACAAGGAGACCGACTCCTCGTCCAACAGCGGACGACAGCGCAGACCACCGCCAGCAAGGCAGCCAAGCACAGAGGTTGCTCGAGGTCAGGCATCAGGGCCAGCCTAGCGAGGTGCTCTCAGAGGGGGGATTTCCAGAGGAGCGGGGCGAGTTTAGGAAAGTGAGCAATGGTAGTGTTCTCCGCAACGAGTCTTTCAGCCCAATATTCATCGCGAGACGGGGTGGCGAGGACGGTCAGCCAAGCTTTGCGCCTATGGAGGTGCCACCCATGGAGCTACGGAAGCGCCTCGACAAGCTGCGCCTGAACCAGATGGTGGTTGCGGACCCGACTGCGATCCCTGAAGATCCCGAACTTACGGCTGGGGGCAAGTCTCTCGACCCGGAGGACACCGAGGATTATGAAAAAATGGGCGGCTTCATCAACACACGAAGGGGCGGTCGGTCGGCAGAAGGATCGTTCCGTCACCGCATGCTCAGTCCCGAGGCGAGCGGGCCCAGCACGTCTGAAATGTTCCTGGAGGAGTCCCTGCAGGCTAGTACCCCGAAGCAGTTCCCAACCATACGGACAGACCACTTTCCTAGCCGCACGCATAGTCGCAACCTCAGCCATGACGATAGCCCGCAGATCCCCCAGGCACCTAACCCAAGCCCCGAAAAAGCGGCTGTTGGCACGGTCCGGGCCGGGTCAGGAAGCCCCCTGAAGCTTTTTGGCCCTTACGACACCTTCACCAACCAGACCCTCATGCGGCGGATCAGCCAGTTCGAGGACCAGATGACAGATCTGTCACGGTCGGCAGCGGACCTGGAACTCGGCGACTCGAGGCAATCCATGCCGCACAAGGTATCCTTGAAAGGAACTAGACAGCCAGGTGGGCGCGACTCGTCGGCTTTCTTTGGCGAGGGTGACCTTGATGGGTATGAGTTCACGGAGACTTTTGCCTACCGCTCACGAGACGCGTCGGCATTTGGGCGCCATCAAGAGCGCCGGGGCTCCAAACACATGGTCCAGCTTGGCCGAAGCCTCAGTTCTTCGCCCCCAGCGCAGAGCGTGCTGTTTATCAACCGGCAACGAACTAAACTGGTCGCTACACCCCTATCAAGATACTCCACCAGGCTTCAAGGCGAAGACTCGGACACGCCTGGCCAGCGCGAGATGGGGTCCGACGGCAAGCGCCCAAGGAACTCTCCTATCAAGGATCCGACACCGAAGCGGCGACGGACCCTGCACAGGTCCGATGTTTCGTATGTTGAATCTTCCCCGCCGGCAGTCGAGTCAGTCCAGTCGACGCACAGGACGATGCAGTCAATCATGGGCAGAAAGAGGAAAAATACTGTGGATGGCAGCCCCAGGCGACCGGCCGGACTCGAAATGTTAGCAAACCGACAGGTTTTGCGCCCTCGCTCGCCTACCCCCAGCCAGAGGTCGTCAGTGCGGCGGGATCGCAAGCCTTTCGTTGAGGAGGTGGCAGACTACTCTGGAGTGGGAGACGAGGAGAGCGTCATTGTTCAGAGGACTGAGTCGCGCCTAAACCTCATGCGTCCTGGAGACGCAACTGATGCGGACCGCAAACCTTCCATCAAGACGGAGGACTTCCTCAACGAAGCCAACAAAATCATGGCCATGATCCGCAACGCAGGCCCTCGCAGTGGACTGACAAGCGTGGAGGAGTCGGACGAGGAGAACGGGCAGCGAGAAGACGGCGAAGACTCGTTCCAGGAGTCGACGAGAGAACCATTTTCGAGACCTCCGAGCCGAGACGGGCCTCCCCTGCCAAGGGCCACGGTCAAGCAGGTGGACCCAGAGGTTCTGGCGCGGCTGCGCAAGTATGAGGAGAAGAGCGACATCGGCGACATCATCGGGTCCTCGGTGCGGTCGCTAGGGCTCGCTCAAGATGTCATTCGCACGCTGAAGGAGGCCGAGCAGCAGCTCCAGCACAGCGTTGCCCGGGGACCTGGGCGATTGGAGCTGCACTCGGACGAGGTCATCTCGGATCCTCCCAACATCCGGATCAGCCGTAACCCCAGCTCTAATCACGGCCAGGCCGGCGATGGCTATGCGACGCAGGGGTCGGTGTCATCGTGGGGCTACTCTACTGGACGATCGATCCCGACGGGCTCTTCGCGCGGGTCTGACACCCGCAAGACGATCGCGCCGCAGACCATCTCGCACCTTATCCCGGACCAGGTTGGAAACATGGTCCTCGACCGTGAGCGCAACGTGTGGGTCAAGAACAAGACCCCACAGGCCGTCAAGCCCCAGCCTCGACCGGCAAACGCGCTGCCGTCGGACGCCTTGAGCGAGGAGGACCCTTTTGCCGACATTCCCGACCTGAGCGTAGACATGACGCTCGAGATGCAGCGCATCCGCATCCAGAACGCTCTCGAGAGGTCCAGCCGCGAACGCATCCCGCTGAGCGAGCAGCTCTCGTCGCCCGCGTCCGCCGTAATGCCCAGGTCGGTCACGGCCGAGGTGTCAGACGAGTCGAGTACGCAACCCCCTGAATCCAGCCCCGTGTCAGCGAAGCAGCTGGACCAGCAACTCACGACGCCGGGTCCATCTGGCGGTAGACGGGCAAAGCAGGTGGCTGGTGAGGAGGCTGGGGGCGATATCGAGCATGAAATCGGGCTTGACGAGGGCCGTGGGGTGCGTGCTGGGTCGTCGTCCAAAAAGCGCAACCTCACCATCACGTTCTCGTCGCCTGTGGCTTCGATAATCCAGGATGTGATTGCAGACGGCTCGACCAGTGAGGAGGGCGATCTCCACGAGTGGTCGCTCGCAAGCGTCTGCAGAGACTCGCTGCAGCGGGGGCGGTACACGGCACCAGCCCCCACAGGTACTCCAGCTGGCAGGGGTCGTGGCAGGGTGGTCTCGCGCGGCCAATCACAGGCCCCTGTCAAGCAGGTGTCACTGCGTCGTGGCAGCCAGGGTTTCGTTCCCCGCCCAGTGTCCCGGATTGACGAACAGGACGAGCACAGCCGGTCCGACGCAGGGCTGCCCGAGAATCACGTCGACGCCAACGGCGCCGCCCAAGAGGCGGTGGAGGGCGAGGAGCACGGACAGCCGCAGAACCAGCTTAGCATTCTGCCTGACGACAGCATCGTGCTCCACAGCAACCCGGCTGCCGGCCAGCACCGCCAGGCCAGCCTCAGCTTCGTGCTGCATACTCCGGCGCGCCCCTATGCCGCCTACCAGCCCGGCACCGCTGCTGTTCTCAATCACTATGTCGGCAACCTGTCACTGAGCCCCATGTCCGACTTTACCGCGCACCATGGCGAGCAGTCGGCCGTCCTCGAGGCCAGCTACGTCGTCGGCAACAAGCGCTACGTCACGGGCGACGGCCCTGCTCGCGTCCTGTCACAGAGCCTTGCCGACCTGGTCTCGTGCCTCTCCGAGTTCGAGCCCTTCGAGCCCTATTGGGAGGACCTGACGGAGCTGGAGCTTGTCGACAAGAAGCTTTCCAGCCTTCACAAGCTCAGCGACTTCTGCGGGCATATCGTCCACCTCGACATCACCAAGAACTCGATCAGCAATCTGAGCGGCGTCCCCGACTCGGTGCGCTTCCTTCAGGCTGCACACAACCAGCTGTCTGATCTTACCGCCTGGGGCGCGCTGATAAACCTCCAACACCTCGACGTCTCCAACAACGACCTTAGGACGGTCTCTGGGTTGAGCCAGCTGGTTCACCTGCGCGAGCTCAAAGCCGACAACTGCAACCTGGCCAGCCTGGACGGTCTCGGATGCCACGAGGGCCTACAGAAGCTGCGCGCAAGGGGAAACCACATCGAGGAGCTTGACTTTGAGCACTCCAAGATGCGCAGCCTGACAGAGCTGGATCTAGAAGGCAGCGGCATCAGGAGGATCACGCACATTGAGCACCTCACGTCCCTCACCCTTCTGAAGCTCCAGAAGAACAAGCTCGACCAATTCGAGATCGCTAGCGGCAAGACGTTTCAATCGTTGACGGACCTCCACATCACCGACAACGAGGTCATGACACTTGATGTCAGCCCCCTGCCGATGCTCAAAAGACTTTTCGCTGATAGGAACCGGCTGCATACGATCACGGGCTTTACTAGAGCGTTCCGTCTCGATACCCTGTCGCTCCGTGAACAGCGGGGATCTCAGTCGCTGGACACGTCATTCCTTGGAAGCGCGTGCGAGGTGCGCAAGCTGTTCCTCTCGGGCAACATGCTCGGCACGTTTGAGCCGCCCATCAGTTTCCTAAACCTGCAGGTGCTGGAGCTGGCCAACTGCGGCCTGATGGAGCTGCCAGCAAGATCGTCGGAGCTACTGCAGAACCTGCGCAAGCTCAATGTCAACTTCAACGCCATCTCGTCCCTTGGGTGCCTCGCAGACATCCCCAGGCTCAAGAAGATCTCGGCCGCAGGGAACCGGATTCGTAACGTGGTTCGCACGCAAAAAGCCGTCAGCCGCATGGTGAGCCTCAGGGAGCTAGACCTACGCGGCAACCCTACGACGATAGGATTCTATGCTCCAGCCAACAACGCGCCAAACTCGAACCCCGAAGCACGCGATGCTAATGGCGAGGCTCTCGGTCCGTTCGCCATGGCTCCTGCTGATATGGAGCTGGACTCGACGTACCGCAGCCGGCTCGACATGCAGACCCTGAAGCAACGGCGTGTGTATGAACTCATGTGGATAAGCAGCACTAAGGCTTTGCGAATGCTTGACGGGTTGCCCCTGGATCGCGGAGTGCTCCGGCTCAGGGACTCGGTTTGGAACACGCTCATCGCGGAAAACTTCCTGACTCCGGACCTGCTTGCTCTGCTGGAGCGGCAAGCAGCGACGCAGCAATCGCCGCCTTCGTCTCCTCGCAGGCGCGTGGACATATCCAGCTCGGCTTCGGTCACAGCCAGCAATGGCAGCAGCAGGAGCCGCCAAACAACTACGACGACGGCTACGACGACGACTACGACGAACTCGACCCGCGAGAGTACGACGCGCGAGAGACGCAAGGCCGAGCTCTCGGCCACAAGATCAGCGAGCAAAACAAGGGGCCCAGACAAGATGGAAAACCGGCCGCTGTCACGAGCGTCCAGCCAGGGTCGGGACCAACCCCAGAGTGCCAGCTTCGGCCAGAACTCCAAGCGACGCAACGATTCGAGCACTCTCAGCTCGGAAGGATCGTCGACTATCAAGCTTGACTCTTCACGGCTCGAGCGTACCAGGCCTCTAGCAGCTTCTGTTAGGACGGTCGAGGACGAAAAGGACAGCTACGTTCCTCGCAGCATGCGCCGGGGCGAGCTAACATGGATGGCAGAGAATAGCTTTGCATGATACGACATACTGGTCTTTTTATTTCTATTCTTGCTGGTATTCCCATTTGATTCTTTGTACCAACACCTGGGCGTTTTTTCCGTGTCTTTTTTTGATTCGGTTTTTGATACGACGGCTCTTTTTGGAGCTGGGCGCATGGAAAAAGGGATGTGGGGTAATGACGGGGCCAACAAGGCAGGCGAGGCAGCCGCTGGGCGGGATTTTGAATTGCGTTAAAGCATGCGAAGTATGGTGTATTGAAATGTACGATATGGGGTATGGCCAACACGCATGTCAGATCGGGGTGTGGTTGAAAAGAGCTTTTCAAACGAATAATGAGCATCAATCCATTCATCAAGGTTGTTCGAGGCTGACTGGTATTGATTCCGCCATGTCACTCCTGTTAGGCCTGGTCCATTACCTAATGCGCCCCGTAGTGGGGTAACCCTACCTATGCCGTCAATGGGTGTTTCTCTCCCCTGCATGAACCTCGAAACACAAGTAAGCCAAGAACTAAGCTCCCTGCTAAGCTCATAGATAGCCCGACCGAGGCCAACGATCGAGGTCAACAATCCGAGTACCCTACACCTCCTCGCTCACGCTAAATCTACCCAACGTCTCAAGAATGGCCCCAGATCAGGACGAGCCTGACAGGCCCAAAAAGACGGTTGTCTTCCTGCACCCCGACCTGGGCATCGGCGGTGCAGAGCGGCTGGTCGTCGACGCCGCCGTCGGCCTCCAGAACCGCGGCCACAAGGTCGTCATCTTTACGAGCCACTGCGATCCCAAGCACTGCTTTGACGAGGCCCGCGACGGTATGTGGCCCGGCTGCCCTTATCGAATACCAATCGTTGCCAACGGGAAAGAAAGCTAACGTGTTCCCAAATACGCAATATACAGGCACCCTCGACGTCCGCGTCTGCGGAAACACGCTCGTGCCGCCCTCGATACTTTCGCGCTTTTCCATCCTTTGCGCCATCCTGCGCCAGCTGCACCTCATCCTGCAGATTTCGTTTTTCTCGAAAGAGCTAGCGGACCTCGAGCCCGACGCCTTCTTCGTCGACCAGCTGAGCGCGGGTCTGCCGCTGCTATGGTGCCTAACGCGTGGCGGCAGGAAAGCGCCGGCCTCGTCGCCCGGCATCCTCTTCTACTGCCACTTCCCGGACCTGCTGCTGGCCCGCGGCCGCGAGCTGTGGGTCAAGCGCATGTACCGCGTGCCCTTTGACGCCCTCGAGGCCTGGAGCATGGGCTTCGCCCACGCCGTCGCCGTCAACTCGGACTTCACCCGCGGCGTCGTCCGGAACACGTGGCCGCACCTCGCGGCGTCGACGGAGTTGCGCGTCGTGTACCCTTGCGTCGACGTCAAGGCCGTGGAGGGGGGCGGCGGGGGCGAGGGCGAGGGCGGGGAAAAAAGCACGGCGACGCTCGACTGGCAGGACGTCAAGATCGTGCTGAGCATCAACAGGTTCGAGCGCAAGAAGAATATTGCCTTGGCCATCAAGGCGTTTGCCGGATTGGTCAAGGAGAAGCGCAAGGGCGTCAAGCTCGTTATTGCAGGTAAGGCGCGATATCTGATTAACATTTTTAGCCTTAGAGGCTAATATATAACCCCAAGGTGGTTACGATAACCGTGTTACCGAGAACGTCTCGTACCACAAAGAGCTGGCCGAGCTCGCAGAGAATCTTGGACTGGGCCACGCAACGACAAAAACGGTCGTGACGGCCCTGGCCCTGGCCCGCGACGCCTCGGTCGACGTGCTCTTCCTGCACTCGGTGCCGTCAGCCCTCAAGGCCTCGCTCCTCAAGTCGGCGCGCCTGCTCCTCTACACGCCGGCCGAGGAGCACTTCGGCATCGTGCCGCTCGAGGCCATGCTCGCGGGCCTGCCCGTGCTGGCCTGCAACAGCGGCGGGCCCATGGAGACGGTGCTCGAGGGCGAGACGGGCTGGCTCCGCGACCCGGACGACGTGCCCGCCTGGACCGAGGTGATCGAGACGGTACTGGACGCGTCGTCGTATTTTTACGCGGGAGGCGCGCGCAGCGAGATGCTGGCGCGCATGCGCGAGGCCGGGCCCAGGCGCGTCCGCGAGAACTTCTCGGACGTGCAGATGGCGCGGCGCCTCGAGGCCGTGCTGGACGACATGGACGACTCAATGGCCAGGGCCAGGAGGAGGAGGGACGCAACGTCCGTGTTTGGCAGCCTCGAGCCCTTTGCCTTCATGCTCATGGTCGGCATCACCGTTTGGGCCGTGGTGTGGCGTGTGGCTTCCCTAACAGGGTACTTGGAGTAGCTCGTCTTTTGTCGTCTTTTGTCGTCTTTTTTTCTTTCCTTTTCTTCTTGATACTGTCGGGGCTGGGGGGGTGCTATATCTTGTGGTCCCAGAGTGGGTCGGGAGTAACTGGTCTAGGGGATGGAAATATGGCTCGAGGACAGGAAGGAGCTAAAGACATGTCATGATACCCCTTTGGTATGGTCTTCTGGAAGATGGCCACGCTATATCCTACAACATTTGAACCGACTTTGTTGGCTGTGAACCTTGACATATACCAAACTAGCAGGTTTTAACCATGCATACATAAACTCTCTCTCTCTCTCTCCTCCCCCCTCCCAAAGGCCCCCAAATCTAGTGTGGCTCAATTTGTCGCAGCGCTTGCCGTCGTTCCTTCTGAGGGAGTATACTCCACAAACTGACGCCAAGCCTCGATGTCGACCTCTGCTTGAGCGCCCCTTGGAGTTGGCGGGAATAGCCTCTGTGGAGATAGGACCGAATCTGCTGCTGCGGCTGGTGATGAATGAGCAGCCATTGGAGTTCCGGGGATGGGAGACGGGAGGTGCGAATCGAAGGGTCTGTCGTCGATCCCGGCCTCGTTGAGGATCTTGTCGATGGGAGTCCGCGTCGAGACGGCCCAGCGAAGCGATATGAATCGACCGGGGAAATGGTCGATTACGAAGCTCGAAGCGGTCTCGATGCCCATGAACACTTTGTTGGCACGGCACATGAGGCTAAATGCGCCGTCCCAGTCCTGAGCCCTCGTCTTGTGCTCGGCGTACCACAAGGTGCGATGGAGTTTGATCTCGGCGCAGGTCTCGCGCTCCATGAACTGCTCGCTGACTTCAAACGCCCTCTCGGCATCTGAGAATCGACCGATAAACGAGTAGAAAACCCCCAGCAGAGCCTTCGACCTGGCCAGTTTCATATCCGCAAATTCCCGTCTGAACCGGTCGCCCGAGGCGGAAGAGCTCTCGATCGCTTGGAGCTGCTCTAGGAGCTGATCTTTGGGGGAGTCGCCGAGGTGGAGGAGGTCTCGTACCGATTCTAATGATGGCCCCAGATCAATTTCCCAGGTTGTGATCGGCCCATCTCTTTTGGCTTCCTCTATAAATCTCGCGGGTAGAGTACTATCGTAAATGAAGCTCGAGGCGATGTTATGCCGTAGTTGTGCCACTTTCGGATGGTTTGGTCCAAGGATGGGCTCCCAGATCTTGACCGCACGTTGCTGCACGAGAAGACGCGACCAGTATTGCGCGTTGTTGCGGAGGAAAATCAGCAGACGTTGAAGTTCTTCCTCGCCGTGTCTTCCTGAAGAGGCCATGCTGTATGCCTCTCTCGCTTGGACAAGAGATTGTGACAGGATATTGACTATTCTGACGGCAAGGCTTTGCGGACAGCCAGGATAGCAAGCAGCATTCATCACGCGCACACTGAACTGCGCCACCATATGAGTGAGGGGGGATTGGGCTATTTGAGAGCTGCGCCGAAACTTCTGGGCTGCTGATTGGTAGTCCCCGTTGCGAGCATCAGCAATGCCGAGTAGGGTTAGTGATTCGGAGCGGCCTGCGGGCTCTTCATTTGGCCCGCGCACGCTGCTCATCTGGGATTCCTCGACTGTATTGTTCATGTTGCCGAAAACTTTGTCGGTCATGGCGTTGAATTCACTGTGACGTGCTGACATGGCAGAGCTGAATCCATGAGACCCAGCCTTTGCGTAGCTTGACGGCGTCTGGGCGATGATGTTGGATGGCAAGCCTTTTTTTGTTTCATTTTGTCCCAAGTCAGCTCAGCTTAGGCACCTCTCAGACAAGATGGGGACTGACCGGAGGAATCAGACATGAAGTCTTCGGGAACTCTGGATCGCTGCTGGTAGGCGTCCAGCTTGGCCGCGGGGACCACTTGATATCCTCCAGCGCCTGGATCGCGCTGGAACCTGGTCGGGCGGCCATCCTGTTTCTGGCGTCGCTGCCGATGGCGAACCATTTTGGCCATCTCCTTTGCAGGAATGTTCTTGACGAAGCCCCATTCGGTCGTCTTTCTTTTGAGTTGTCGTTCCCTGTGTGCTCTGAGCGTAAGCTACCCGGACGTGTCCCAAACTGCGCAAGCCAGCCACCCGAACCAAGACACTCACCCGACGGCAAGACCGTGATGGTCCTTCAAGATAGCCGCCACCTCGTTGTGTGTCTTGCCCTGCTCTACGAACAGCTCTCGAATCGTATCCTTGTGATCCTCCCAGATTTGGGGCGCATATCGCTTGTAAGCCCGACGCCCCGGAGTTTGGCTTGAAGGGCCTTCGGGCATCCTTTCTCGCACTTGGCTTTGGTAAGACTCTGGTGCCCAGAGACAAGGGCCAGCGGATTGTTTGGTTCAGGAGGGAAAGAAGAGAAGTCGAAGACGAGTTATAATAACCACGTTGATGGCTGTGTTTGGTTTGAACTCTAGCAAAAAAGAAGAAGAGGGTCAGGGCAGATTAAATGTCCCTTTGGGACGCGCTGCTTTCCAATACGCCTGGGCACCCACGTTAACATTAGGTCGGGCTGGCGGCGCCGGCTCACAAAAGTGACATTCGAAAACGCCTGGTTGCTTTCCCGGCCCCACTGCCTTGCCCATATTCGGCATGCCCGTCCAATGTCCCTTTTGTTGATTGGGGGGGAACGAGCCAGCAAAACCGACGCCACCAAACCCGACGCCAAGAAAAAACAGACGCCAGCCGCCCTACAGGCTCAAGGATATTATGGAGGGTACGATGCAGGTCCGACAGGGGGGTAGCGATACATTGATTCAGCGGGATTTTCTATGGGCAAGAATGTAGCTGTCTCATGGGCCAAGAGCACCCGTGTCCTGGAGACCTGCACGTTACCCAAGTCGGGCGAACGACGACACCAGCGAACTGTTGGCAAATGATGTCGCGAGCAATCCACCGGTTTAGCAGAACCCCCCGAAATCGGCAGCCGCAGCGACATCAGGGGTGCAGACCGGTGGAGTGCAGCAACACCACGCGCGCGTTGCTTTATGTAGAATGTCACTTTTGTCGGATGCGGGCTGCAACGGGAGGTGGGCAAGATGGAATGTCATTGGCCGGGTATCGGGGCTCACGATATATGTTCCTGGAGGGATTCACAGCGCTAGAACTACGCAACCGCGACAGCGGAGGCCCCCGTATTCTTCATTAAGGCGCCCGAGGCCGCATCCCAGCAACAAAAGTGCCATTGAACGACGGGCACACTTTTGGGGCGCTCCCACCCGGCCGGCCATGTCAGATGCTCTCTCTTTTTCTCTCTCCCCCTCTACCTGCTCATCTTTCCCCGTCGCCTATTTATTAATCACGATGGCCTCCCCTTCCCACGCCGACACGGGCTTCCTGTAAGTCCACGCCATCAGCCTCCAGGCAACCCGTCACCGGCCTTTCCCTCCCTACTCATACATCCTACGGACCCCCCTTCCTCCCCCCC